GGCTCGGGTCTAAGTGGAGCTCAGTAATGTTTTTGCAGTGAAGGCATGGCAGTTCAATAGTAATTATGAAGTAGCATAAATACTCTCTCAAATGAGTGCCATGTTGCTCTTGCTATGCAAACATGGAAAGGCATGCTGAATCACCATAAATATTTCTTCTATTACTAGGTCAGAATTCTGAATTCTCTGGCTTAGAAAGGATCTTAGCAAGACACCAGTTCCCAAAAGATATTAATGCGACCCCGAAACCAAGTAGCATGCCCCTGTGGAAAAGGAAATCCATCAACAACTCGAATCGTGGGTGGAAGAAATGCTACTTGTGGAATAAAAACTTGGAGGTGCCTCCAATGTCAACCATAGCTGTCAGGTAGGTGTCTAATTTTTGTCTGCTGCCAACATATTTAGAGATATGCAGGATGACCACAGACTCTATTTATGCCTGAGCTAAAAAAATGACTTAATGTGGTCTTTGAGATACATGATAGGCTTGAGAACAAGTATGGCTGTTAAAGCACATAAGCCCCATTTTCACACACCCAAGTGCTGGAGGAGTCCTCAATCAGAGAAAACTCAGGGACACAAGAGTGGGTGTGTGTCCCCCAAGAGCCATTGCATTGCAGGTTGGTGAGCAGAGATCTAGCAGGGCTGGAATGGGATTCTTGGAGAGGGACCCCACACTGAGCTATGGCCCTTTTATGCTGCATGAAGTCAGGAAGGAGCAGCTCATCCCCAGCATGACCAAGGGCCCAGGATCCAATAGTTTTAATAGCTTGGCTTGATCTGTCCTCTGCCGGATTTTACATGGACAGAAATGGGAGCCATTTCAGGGTCTTCAAGAGAGGGGTAATGGGATCTGATCTGAAACCTCCCTGGCCTGTTGGGGAGCGAGGGTGGTAGCAGACGAGGGGTGGTGAGCATCAGACCAGGTGGTAACAGTGGGGATGTGGAATTGCCTGGATTCTGACACTTGAAGTTATAAGCTTTGGGGCACCTGGGTGGCTGAACCAACGTTCAGCATCTGACTCTTGAGTCTGGCCGGGCTCATGGTCTCGGGGCCCTGGGAACGAGCCCCATGCCTGGCTCTGTGCTGGCTGTGGAGTCTGCTTGGGATTCTCGCTCTCCCTCTCCCTCTGCCTCCCCCTGGTTCCTGCACATGCACTCTCTCTCTAAAAAGAAAAAAAAAGAAAAAAGCAAGTTATAAGCTTTGGTTCCTTGGCAAATTATCTTTGTTGGTCTGCTTCCTTCCCTAATTATGCCAGACAGATGATGTCTCCATATTTGTTTCTTTAGTATTGCTGTACAATACCTAATAAAGGATTTCTAGTTAGTACTTAGTGGGTATTCAAAACATGTTGCTAGGCTGACAGGAAAAATATATAATTTGCTATAAAGACAGAGTTCTCTCTGCTTTGAGGTTGACAGACCCAGGCAGAGACATCCAGCTCATGAATTTGCCTGTAGTAGACACTTCTACTGTGGTCATTGTTCTATGGAAATAATTTCCTTGTCTACTTTTTTACCCCAGTATCCTCAGTGGCATAACTTGACAATTTGACTTAAAAATCCACCTTCAGGGGCACCTGGGTGGCTCAGCGGGTTAAGCCTCTGCCTTCAGCTCAGGTCATGATCTCAGGGTCCTGGGATCAAGCCCCACATCGGGCTCTCTGCTCAGCAGGGAGCCTGCTTCCTCCTCCCTCTCTGCCTACTTGTGATCGCTCTCTCTCGGTCAAATAAATAAATAAATAAAATCTTTAAAAAAAAAATCCACCTTCAAAGAAGGCAAAGATACGTTATAAAATAATTAGAACAGTGTTATTTTCTCCTTGGACAATACAAAGAACTAAATTTGTATCTAGATTAAGGGTATAAGTTATTTTAAGTGATGATTCCTGATGACTTAAGATTATTTAACCATACTTTGGAGGCCTATAAAAGAGAAAAAAGCAATTTCACAATTGTGGGAAGTTTATACATCTCAATTTCAGGCCATAATGTCTTGACATGAACTAATATATTTTATTTACATCCTAGTTTGTTTGGTTTCTGAAAAGATAGCTCAATTGTTAGAACATAAGAAATGACATATTTATTCACCTTTTCTCCTATGAACATTCATTGGCTGTCCTTAAAAAAGTTAGGACTCATAAAAGCAGGCATCTTTACTTGTTCTTCACATTAGGGGAAAATAATTAAGTATTTTGTTGGCTGTTGGTTTTTGCAGATTACTTTTATCAGTTTGAAGAAGTTCGTGATTGTGGCTGGTTTGCTTAGTTTTTATCATAATGGATACAAATGCTTTCTCTCTATCCATCAAGTTGAAAGTATTTATCTTTACTATTAATATGGTGAATTGTATTGTTTTTAAAAATATTATTATCACGGAAGAATATACACAACATAAAATTTCCTATTTTCCCCATTTTTTAAATGTGTACAGTTCAGTGGCATTAAGTACATGCACATTGTTGTGTAAACCATCATTGTCCATTTCCAGAAATTTTTCATCTTCCCAGAGTGAAACTCTGTCCCCATTGAACACTCACTCCCTATTCTCTCATCCCTCCAGCATCTGGCAAACATTATTTTACTTTTTGTCTCTATGCATTTGCCTAATCTAGACCCCTCAATAAGTAAAACCATACAGCATTTGTCCTTTTGTGTCTGGCTTATTTCACTTGCATGTTTTCAACGTTCATCCATATTGAAGCCTATGTCAGAAGTTTTCCTTCTAAAGGCTGAATATTCCATTGTCTGTATATAACATTGTTTTATCCAAACAAAAAACCCCCACCATTTACTGAAAATGTCATCCTTTCCCTGTTGAATGGTCTTGGCACCCTTGTCAAATCATTTGATCATCAAAAACAACATGTGAAAAAAAATAAAAAAATAAACCAACATTTGATCACATATGCAAAGATTTATTCTGATTCTCTATTCTAGTCCATTGTTTATAGGTCTGTCCTTATGCCATGCCACACATTGTGTGTGTGTGTGTGTATATATAATTATATATATACAATTGTTATATATTATTATTCCATATTGGAGGTCCAATATTTGACATGTAAATGTTTATGATTGTTATATCTTCTTGCTGTATTAACCCTTTTACTATCATGTCTTTATCTCTTATTTATAAGTTTTTTAGACTCCTTTGTCTGATATTAGTATAACCATCCCTATTATCCTTTGCTTACTATTTGTAAGGAATATTTTTTTCATTCTTTCATTTCTAAACCATGCATGTCCCTAAATCTAAAGTGAGACTTAGGGCACCTGGGTTGCTCAATGGGTTAAGCCTCTGCTTCAGCTCAGGTCGTGGTCTCAGGGTCCTGGGATTGAACCTGCTCCCTCCCACCCCCGCTGCCTGCCTCTTTGCCTACTTGTGATCTCTGTATCAAATAAAATCTTTAAAAAAATTTTTAAAAATAAATAAAGTGAGACTCTTATAGGCAGTATATTAACTGAATCCTGACTGGTTTTATTATCCATTCTATCAGTCTATGGTTTTTGGAGAGTTCAATCCATTTACATTTGAAGTTAATTATTCATAGGGAAGCACTTACTTTTGCCATGTTGTTTTCTGTTATGTTTTACATAGTTCCCTCATTCCCTGCATTACTGCTTCCCCTTGTGTTTAGTTAATTTCTTATACTGACACATTTTGATTCTCTTTTCATTTCTGTGTGTCTTCTATGGGTATTTGTTGGGGGGGGGCGGTTACCATGGGCATTACATAATAACATCCTAAAGTTATAACAATCTGTATTACAGATTATTAACTGTATCTTATATGTAGTTGTAACGATCTATAACAATGTATCTTTGTTACCAACTGGACTAAATTGCTGCTTCACCCCTCGAATTATGTTATTTGTTACATGGTACTTTTATACTTTGCATACCCATTGATATAAATAAATTACATCTTATGCATTTGTCTTCTAAATCCTATAGAAAAAGTAGATTTGCAAACCAAAATTATAAAAATACTATTTTTATATTTGTGCATGTATTTACCTTCACTGGAGAACTTTATATATTCATGTGGCTTTGAGTTACTATCCTCTCATTTCAACTTGGACGTCATTTAGTATTTCTGGTGGGGGCAGATCTAGTGGTAATGAACATCCCCAGTTTTTGTGCAGGAATGTCTTAAATTTCTTATCTCTGAAGATGTACAGTTTGCAAGATGTAGGTTATCTCACCATTTTAAATATGTCATCCTAACTGCCTTCTGAACCGTAAGGTTTCTGGTGAGAAATCTAATAATCTTTTTGAAGATCACTTTATGTGATGAGTTGCTTTTCTCTTGCTGCTTTCAAGATCCACTCTTTGTCTTGGACAGATTTGATTATAACATGTCTTACTGTAGGTCTCTTTGTGTGGATCCTACTTAAAGTTCATTGTACTTCTTAGATTAGTATATTCACATCTTTCCTCAAATTTAGCCATTCTTTTTTTTTTTTTCGGCCATCTTTTTTTCAAATAACCACCCTGGCCCTTTCTCTCCTCCTTTCCCACCTCACTCCTTCTCTGCCTAGGACTCCCATTGTGTGTACATTGGTTGGCTTGGTGGAGTCTGTCCCATAAGCCTTTTAGACCCTATCCACTTTTCTTCATTCTTTCTTCTTTTAGCTCCTCGAACTTGATCATTTCAAACGACTTCTCTTTAAGTTTGCTGATTTTTCTTCTACTTGTTTGAGTTTGATGTTGAACCCCCTCTAGTGAATTCTTCCATTCAGTAATTATAATTTCCAGCCCAGGATTTGGTTTAAAAAAATAATAACGTGCACCTCCTTTGTCGATACTTGTATTTTCTTTACGTGCTGCTTTCCCGATGTCCTTTAGTTCTTTGTCCATGGTTGCCTTTAGCTCTTTTGAGGTATTCGACATTTGTTTTGAAGTCCTTATCTGGTAAACCTGATCACTTTTTTTTTTGGGGGGGGGGAATATTTCCAGAATTTTTCCTGCTTCTGTGGGTTGTTTTTGTACACCTTTGCACACCTTATAATCCTTTGTTGAAAACTGGGCATTTTTGCAAAAACAAGTTCCTCTTTCACTGATGGGTAGACCTTCTCTCATGAGTGGGCCTGTGAGTCTTCAGATTAGCCCAGGACTTCTCAGGTATTTTCTGGGCATGCTTCCTGTCTAGGCCTGTATGTTTGTTTGCTTTGGGGTTTTTATTTGTTTTTAATTTTTCCTCAGCTGCTTTCAATGTCTAGAGTCCGCAGCTTCTTGTCAGGGCCTTAAGTGCTCTATATGATTCCTTTTCTGTGATCTCCCTCCCCGCATTGGAGGGTCTGCAGTCAGCTTGTACCTTTCATGTTTCATTGTATGCCACTGCTTCTCGTGGTTTCTTGACTCCCATCCAGACTACGCCAACCTTTTCCTCCTTTACTGTGAGTCAGGCAAGACAGCAACCAGTCCCTCAGGCAGCCCACACACAGCCCAGAAGGTTGCAAACAAAGTTCACTCTGTTCATTCCATTCCAAGGCAGGGAGCTAGGACTTAGGTGCATTTCTTCCAACCACACCATGCAGGGTAGCGGTGGGGTAAGGGCAACTAAGAACACCACACAGTGTCCTACAATTTTCAATGTATATTTTCTTTGTTGGACAACCACTGGTTTGCTGTAGATGTATGGCTTCTGTAGTTTATTTGGTTTCTGTAGAGAAATGAGGGTATTTAGGAGAGCAAAATATTTCATGCCAGTTTGGCAGCCACCGGAATTATGCCCTCGTCCTTCTCAATAGATATGGCACTAATCGAAACAGGAAGTTACAAGGATGGTTAAGGGAGTTTGCAGGTATGTCTTTCATAATATACCACATTGGACAAGAACTATATCATACATAATTACATAATAGCTGATCCAGATCACTGCTTTTATTTCCAGTGATAGCCCCATCTTCCCTTCTTGCCTTTTTATTAAATTATGGGGAAAAACATGGAACTAAGATTGTCATTTCTTTTCTTTTTTGTGTGTTTCTTTTCTAATACTACTACTGCTCCATTTGCTCCCTTGCTAGGTGGTTGAAGAAGAACATGCAACCCACGGAAGACCTTCAGTCAGTGATCCAGAGGCTGTTGGTGTTTGGGCCAATTACGTCCGTCACCCTCTGTGGTCGGCAAAGCGCTATCGTGGTGTTCAAAGACATGACTTCAGCTTGCAATGCTGTGAATGCTTTTCAAAGCAGGACCCCAGGCACCATGTTTCAGTGCTCCTGGCAACACAGATTCATGTCGAAAGATGTAAGACTCCCTATGACCCAAATCTTACATAAATTCTTAAAGCATGTGGTACGTAACTGGTTTGTCATCAGGGCTCTAGTGAACTATGATAATCATAAATGATATGTTAGCGCTGAGAAAAGGCACAGTTTATTAGGTCAAGTATTGAAAATCAGAAATGACAGCACATCCCTTCATTTGAAATGCATAACACTGCTGTAACAGGCATCACAGCTTGGCTTTTTGGGAGAAGAAGTTCATGATGGCATTCATGCATTCACTTGACAGCCATCTTTCCTGAAGGATGCTGCTTTCTTTGGCGTTAATAGCGTGCAGCTTTTCTTTCTCCTGACTTCTGATGATCTGTTTCGAAATACGCATGGCCTGAAAACACAAAACCAACAGTAAGGCTAAGGGGCATTCTAGAGGGAGTGGGGTTTATTCTAGAGTGCTGAATTTTGTTTCTCCATGGTTCACAGAATCCCGTCCCGCCTTCAGATGTATGTGTAACATAGGACAGTGCTTCTCAAACTGTAATGTGTGTGTGAACCGTCTTGGTAGACGTGGGAGAGGACCTGGGATCACACATTTCTAAAAAGCCTGAGAGAGACACTAAAGCTTCTGATTCCAGGACCACATTTTCAGCAGAATGAATATAAGAGCAGTCAGTCACGAGTCATCACATATAAAAACCAAAGTGCTACACAGGAAGAATCTCCTAAAAGTCAACCTGATATGGATTCGCAACTGGATTCAAGAATAAAAGTGCTCGGCAAATACCACTTATCATCCTCCTCGAAGTTTTCCCCAGAAAGAACTGTCCCTCTGCCTTCATACATATCATCACACTAAAATGCCTCCTTGAGAAGTTTTTTTTAAAAATCAGCATTTCTAACATTATTATGGTTATTTTTAATCTCAAATTTAGATGTGCTTAAAGCCAACCAAGGTATATCTTGTTTTTTAAAATGCTTATTCCCTTAAGGCAAATAAACTATTTCCACGGTTTCTACTAGGAGAAAAAACGAAAAACCGAAAGACAACACTAACATTCTGGGGGAGCTTTGAATATGCTTTCAGCCTGGTCCAAACTTCTTTCTGAAAGGTGCTATCAGGAAAAACTTCAGTAACAAGTCCTTGAGCACAGGCTTCTCTAGCAGTTAACTTTTTCCCAAAAATGAGCATCTCTGCTGCCTGAAACAAAAGCAAGATTAAGACATTAACTTAATGAAACACAGGTCAGTTAACCTCAGAACTAACCTCTGAACTAACCACTTTGAGGAGACAGATGGCAGTTCCTTTATAGTCTTTCGAGGCTGCCAGTATTTCTTGTTAAGGGGGAAACTGAAGACCTTGATAGGCAATGCTTGACAAACTGTGCTGAGAGCACAGGCTCTCAGGCTCTCTGGAAGGTTTGCAAGTATTTTTGCTTCTGTATGTATCTGTGCTGAGAAGGCAAGATCAGGGAGCCCAGGGCAGAAAGGACCTGAAGTAGATGCTAATCCTTTAACCCACACAGCTAGAATTTTCCGCTTTATACACTACAATTATAAAAGAAAAAAGAACTTAAAAAAAAAAAAAAAAGGAAAATCCAGGTCACAGTGAATGCCAACCAAACTTGAGACACCCAAACTTTCAAAATTCCCTTCCTTGGAATTTCTACGCAGTGGTCCAGCTCTGACACTTTTCTTTACCTGCACAGGTACTACGGATTAGTTCACCTGACCAAAGAAAAGGGAAGAAGGACTAATACTCAGTTTCTAACAAAACAGAGGTCACCAAGAGGATATCCTCTGTATTTCCAGGAGTGCTTTCGGAAAAATATTATTTCATAGTCAAATGCCCTAAGCCTTGGAGTTGGCTCTGCCCAACTTTTCAAAGTTAAAATCTGTCATAAGGACTCAGGACATGTGATGGAATAATGAGCTTTAGAAAACTATATATTTGCAGCGAAAACCTGGCAGTCAATGAAAACAGGTTCCATTCCAACCCCACCCCATTCAGAGCTTCAAGAATTGGCTAAGCCTTCCCTATCCTTGGCTCTTTGCTGTTGAGTCTCATCATGCACAGACCCTGGCACCTGGGCTTCCAGAGACTCGGGGACAGACCTGCACAGCCATGGAATGCTTCTGGGAGCCTGAACACATAGCTAAACATACTGACATGGAGGCTGCTATGACTGGGAGCAGCTCTGGAAGGCGTAAACCCCCATGAGGACGGCTTCCAGGGGACGCTGCTCATCTACACAGATATTTAGTGTGACCCCGAGCTGGCACAGCCCTGGTCCTCTAACGACTGATGCCACACAGCAGTGAGGGACGAGGCACCGGGCACCCAGGGGCAAAAGCAGATCCTAGTTCTGGGAGTCAGGGAGAGTTTCTAATTTTCCCTCATATCAGACATTTCCCATAGCCTAGCTCTTCTAGATTTGAAACTTTTAGAGTTGAGGAGCAAATAACTCACTTTTCTTCTGTCTAGATTATCAAGGGAAAGAAAAGAGTATAGAATTACTTTTTGAACAGAGGTTACTTTTTTAAAAGATTTATTTATTTGAGAGAGAGAGAGTTTAAGTGGGGTTGGGGCAGAGGGAGAGAGAGAATCCTCAAGCAGGTGCCTGCTGAGTGCGGATCCTGACACGGTACTTGATCCCAGGACCCTGAGATTATGACCCAAGCCAAAATCAAGAGTCAGATGCTTAACCAACCGAACCACCCAGGCGCCCTCAGAGGTTACTTATTACAACTTATTTTGAATGTTTCCAAGAGTTACCTTGGCTGTGCCCATTATCTTCGGAAAAGTGTAAGAGGAACAACCTTCTGGAGTTTGGCCAAGGTGACTAAAAGGAGTGTGAAATGTTGCCTATTTGGAGAAAAAAAGAAAAGAAAGACAATTTTTTTTATGTGATTTTAAAAAATCACTATTTGTATATATCCTCATGATACTAAATTGAGGAAGTTTTGTTTTTGTTTTGTTTAAATTAGGGTTGCTGTGGTATTATCGAACACAAAGTTCACTCTTAGATATGCAGCTTGGTGAGTTCTAAGGAAGGTACATGGTGACGTAGCCACCACCATGTCAAGATGTAGAATTATCTCCATCTCCCCAAAGGGCTTCTTGTGTCCTCTGGAGTCAATCCATGCCTGACACCCTCAAACCACCACTGCCATCTGTTTTCTGTCCCTTGTTTTGCCTTCTCTAGAATGTAATATAAATGGAATCATGCATTCTGTAGCCGTTGGTTCTTAGCATGACTTTTTGAGAATCACCACGCTACTGTACTGGTGGCTCGTTCCTTGTCATTTCTGAGTAGAATTCCATCGTATGGACAGCGCAGTTCCTGTATCCACTCACCAGTTGAAGCCACTGATGTTACTTCTAGTATTTTGGCTATGATGAATAAAAACTTGTACACAGGTCTCTGCATGAGCGTGTTTTCAGTTCTCCTGGGTAAATACGTAGGGGTGGAACTGCTGGGATGTGTGGTAAACTGTGGTCTAAGACCAACAAAAGAATTTCCAGCATGGTGTATCATGTAACACTCCCCCCAGCAGTGAATGATTCCAGTTGCTCCACATCCTGGCTAAACCTTGTTATTGTCAGTTGTCTTAACCTGAACTGCCCTGGTAGGTGTGTAATAGTGGCTTGTGGTTTTAAATTACATTTCTGTAATGACTAATGATGGTGAGCATCTTTTCATGTGCTTATTAGCTCTTTCTTTTTTTTTTTTTTTAAAGATTTTATTTATTTATTTGACAGACAAGAGATCACAAGTAGGCAGAGCAGCAGGCAGAGAGGAAGGGAAGCAGGCTCCCTGCTGAGCAGAGAGCCTGATGCGGGGCTTGATCCCTGAATCCTGGGATCATGACCTGAGTCGAAGGCAGAGGCTTTACCCACTGAGCCACCCAGGCGCCCCTTGTTAGCTCTTTTTCTATCTTCTTTGGTGAAGTAACCCTTATAATACTTTGCCCACTATTTTTAAGTTAGTAAGTTGTCTTTCTATTACTGACTTGTGGTTCTTTACATATTCTGATTGTAATAGGTTCTTAATAGGGTCTTTTTCCTATGTTTTAAGGAGCCATTTATACTTTATTTTTTGTGAGCTATGTATCCCTCTCCATTGCCCATTTTTACATCAAGTTGTTGATCTATCACTTCATAAAATGTATTTTTAAAAAATATATTAGAGAGGGGAGGAGTCAAGATGGCGGAGAAGTAGCAGGCTGAGACTTATCTGAAGATTGCAAACACCTACAAATCCAACGGGAGATCGAAGAGAAGAAGAACAGCAATTCTAGAAACAGAAAATCAACCACTTTCTGAAAGGTAGGACTGGCGGAGAAGTGAATCCAAAGCGACGAGAAGATAGACCGTGGGGGGAGGGGCCGGCTCCCGGCAAGCGGCGGAGCAACGGAGCACAAAATCAGGACTTTTAAAAGTCTGTTCCGCTGAAGGACATCCTCAAAATGTTGAAAATAGAACTACCCTATGACCCAGCAATTGCACTGCTGGGTATTTACCCTAAAGATACAAACGTAGTGATCCGAAGGGGCACATGCACCCGAATGTTTATAGCAGCAATGTCTACAATAGCCAAACTATGGAAAGAACCTAGATGTCCATCAACAGACGAATGGATAAAGAAGATGTGGTATATATACACAATGGAATACTATGCAGCCATCAAAAGAAATGAAATCTTGCCATTTGCGATGACGTGGATGGAACTAGAGGGTATCATGCTTAGCGAAATAAGTCAATCGGAGAAAGACAACTATCATATGATCTCCCTGATATGAGGGAGAAGAGATGCAACATGGGGGTTAAGGGGATAGGAGAAGAGTAAATGAAGCAAGATGGGATTGGGAGGGAGATAAACCATAAGTGACTCTTAATCTCACAAAACAAACTGAGGGTTGCTGGGGGGAGGGGGGTTGGGGGGGGGGGGTTATTATGGACAATGGGGAGGGTATGTGCTATGGTGAGTGCGGTGAAGTGTGTAAACCTGGGGATTTACAGACCTGTACCCCTGGGGAAAAAAAAATATGTTTATAAAAAATAAAATTAAAAAAAAAAAAAAAAAGGGAAAAAAAAAAAAAAAAAATTAAAAATAATAAAAAAAAAAAAAAAAAACCCTGTACAAAAAAAAAAATATATATATATACATATATATATATTAGAGAAATTACCTTTGATAATATCACCTGGAAAATTGTTTCCTCAGCTGTCATCTGTCTTGATTTTACCTCAGAGAGGTTTTATTGAACTGCTTTAAACACAAGAATCTATTTCAATGCTGGTTATTTAGACCATAGAGTCATCTTGAGTTTTTGTTTTTGTTTTAAAGTAGATTGCAAGCCCAGCATGAAGCCCAGTGAGGGGCCTGAACTCGTAACCCTGAGATTAAGACCTAAGCTGAGATCAAGAGTTGGATAATTAGCTAACTGAGCTACCCAGGCGCCCCTTGTTTTTCTTTTTTTAAAGATTTATTCACCTATTTGGGGAGGGGGAGGCGCAGAGGGAGAGAGACTCTCAAGCAGACCCCCTGTGAGTGCGGAGCCTGACACAGGGATGGATCTCATATCCCGGAGATCATAACCTAAGCTGAAACCAAGAGTCAGAAACTCAACCAACTGCACCACCTAGATGCCCCCTGCTCCTTTTTTTTATTTAAGAAATATTTTTGTGTATTTCTTGATGAATGAGAAGTACTTATGAAAGGAAATCAATTTATAATTGACAATATGTATGCAGAACATTTAGACCTCACATCCATAATCAGATATGGTGCTCTTTCTTAATGAATATTGTTAGAAAACATAAATATATAATATACACAGCATATAAGTAAAAATGAAAATATCAAATAAAAAGTTACTAATGTCACTTATCACTCCCTCCCCCCAAAAGCAAGCTTATTCAAGAAGATGTACTGAGAAGTCACAGCCTAAGGAGTGTAAGAGGAAAGTGAAAGAAAACGTCAACTGTAGCTAAAGGGCCACAAACAGGTATGTGCAGAACTGACAGTAAGCAGCATTTAACTTCTTTTCAGAAATAGAGCAGTAAATGTAATTAAGGGTCAGGCTCTGGCATCTGACTGCTTGGTGACTCTAGAAGCTTCTTAGCCTCTTCGTGCCACAGTAGACTCCTTTATAAAATGGAGACGAAGTACCTATCTCATAGGGTGCTGTGTGCGTAAGTGAGTACACATCATGTGCATCAACAGAGGGCCCAGGATGTGGTGGGCACTCAAATAGTATTTTTATGATTTCTACCCTTTTATTACCTCATAGGGGAAATGTATGATTTGCCAACAAAGAAGCTAATGGGCATTGTTAACTCTTGCATCTTGCCCATAATAAAGAATAATCTGGTTGTAAGAGTATTAAACCCACATTTAATATGGTATTTGTTTAAGAAGCCAATAATGGTAAATCCTGTAAAATACATTCCTCTCCACAGGTTGGTTCTTCTGTATCTCTGATTTTAAATTGAACCTTCTTTTAATTCAGTTGGTCAGCAGTGGTCACTATTTGTCAAATATTTTACTCTGGGCCAAATGTTTTAGCACTGAAAATATCTACATATGTTTTCTTTCTATTTCAGTTCCATTTTGTATCATAGGACCGAAGTCCTAGATATCTTGAAAAGATGATGGATGTGACAGTCATTTTAAATTCTGAGGGAGAATCTGGAGAATATTCAAATAGGATGATGTATCTGCCTTCTAAGTGCTGAAGAATGAGATCCTTAAGTTCAGGTCAGGACCTCCTGACCCCACCCCTGGACAAGACCAGGTGATCAATCAGTCCTCTAACATACATGATGTGACCTCAGGCTATTGATTTCTGCCTTTCAGCAAAAGCTTCTACCTATGAAGGTTAGGCAGCCTGGCACCTAGAATCTCACTTGTTATTTTCATGGGACAATTATTATTAAAAACAATTAGGTCTGACAAGATGCCCAATCCAATCAAACTGAAACCAGTTAAAAAAAAAAAAAAGATGAACTCAAGAGATAAAGATCTTAAAATATGGTCATGTCTATCAGAGAAAACACCTTCAGACAAAACTAGGTATCTCTTCAGTGGTAAAAATCAAATGTTTCCCATAAGGTCGTAGAGCAGGAAACTGTACCACTGCATAAGCAAAAAGTACTCTAAGAATCGATAACCCTAAAAGCGATTATTAGTTCTACAGTAAAAGTTCTAAGATACATGGTCATCACATCTTTGTTTATAATGACAGAATTGGAGAGAGCCTAGGGTTCAGCAGTCAGGGACTGGTTATGTCTAAATGGTAAGCTAAGAAGTGATTTTTAACTTAGCCCTTCGTGCTTTTCCAGATTTTTCAAAATTTTATCTTCTACTATGATATACATTAATACTATAGTAAGAACAGAAACTAAAATCAATGCAATTCAATGGTGAACACAACACTAAACCGTTTAGGTAAGTAACTTGAGCTTTCATTTATCTGCAAAGGGAGTGAGGGTAGATAGTCCTTTAAAACCCCTTCTTATTAAAAAATTCTAATATTCTAAAATTCGAAACTCTGGAATTTGTTTACAAGGAAAAAGGTATCAAACTATGCACTTGCAGAACATGCAAAAATACTGTTTCCCCCCCCACCCCACCAATAGCCAGCTTTCAGGAATCTCCTATTTTAAATTAATTGGAAAATCAAAAGTTGAGGAACTGTTACATAATCTGATTAGAATATAGAACCAAAATAGTTGGAACAGTGTTCACAACAATACTGGTGTTTAGGAAAACCAAAGTTAGTAATGAAGAATAAATAAAACAATTTCAAATTAAACTAAGAGTAATTCTTTGGGAAAAAGCAAAATTTAGTCCATTCTACTATAAATCGTGCGATACATTTACTAACAGCCAACAATAAAAGAGAATTCAGAGGACCTCATTTTTACTCCATGACTTTCTATGTTGCTGGGAGCTCGCTCACCCTGTCGGTCGCGTACACAAGATCAAATAGCCCGAGAACGGTGACGGAGATTCCCACAGCTGGACCGTTGACCACGGCAACCAGAGGCTTAGGAAAATCTATGAAAGAGCCTACAAAATCCCTACAGAAATGGAAATACAAAAGCATAGTTAAATGAGCTGGAGGAGATTATGCTAAGTGAAATAAGTCGAGCAACGAAGAACAATTATCATATGGTTTCACTCATATGTAGAACATAAAGAATAGAGCAGAGGACCATAGGGGAAGGGAGGGAAAACTGAATGGGAAGAAATCAGAGAGGGAGACAAACCATGAGAGACTCTGGACCCTGGGAACCAAACTGAGGGTTACAACAGAAGGGAGGGGGTGGGAGGTTGAGGTAACCAGGTGATGGGTACTAAGGAGGGCACATTTGGCGATGAGCACTAGGTGTTATATGCAACTAATGAATTGTTAAACACTACATCAAAAACTAATGATGTACTTACTATATGCTGGCTAATTGAACACAGTAATGATAATAAACAATGTCCCAACACAGCATGACTGAAGTACAGTAAGGAAGATAGCATGAGTCTGAAATGAACTCTGGCCAGCCTGGACACCCATGTAGATGGCATTTGATGGAAACTCATAGACTGAGTCCTCTATGCTTGACCTTGGTTCAACCTCAGCCAGTCAGGGCTGTAGGTCAGCTGCAGACTTGGGAGATTGGGATGGCTGGCTGAGCATATGTTGCAATATTATAGCTCATGGGAATCAGGAACCCGGAAGGGATACATGAGTTAAGGAGAGAGAGGCCTTCATGTCCTCTGTGCTGAGAGTACTTCACATGTCCCATTACCAGCAAACATGGAAATCATGCATTTTTCTAGCTGGATGAGAATTTGCTAAATCTCCCTGCTTCAGTATGAGAGAACTTTTTTTTACAACTGTAGTTAACTTTTATGCTTTCTAATTGAACCTCACGTAGAGCAGCAGGATGAATGGGAAACAGCAGTTAAAGTGATAGAATAAGTGCCCACAACTGATAGAGGCGGTCTGGAGAAATGCGCTTGTCCAAGTCGCATTAATGACACTGACACAAAGAGGCATTTATCAACTTCTGCTGGACTAAATGCCACTTTGATGAATATGAACAAGTCTGCTGGGATCAGACAAATGTCACTCTTACCTCAGTAAAATGGCACTATTTTTAGCTTTCGCCTCTACACCATCAGGAGGAATATTAGTGAAATTGGTCAGGTCATTTCCACTAGAGTAATAATCTCCGTTTCCTGTAAATGAAATCAACAGATTCACCATTCATTCATTCTGTAATTACTGAGTATCTGCCATGTGCCGGGCTCTATAGCAAGCACTGCAAATACACTTGTGAACCAGACATGGCTCTTGTCCTAATTTACAGACAGGTGAGTAAGCTGGACATTGATCTAGAAACATACAAACAAATGTAGATAATACAACTCTGATACAAAGGAGAAGTACTCAATGATGATATGACAGAGTCTAACAGAGGATCTGTTTTAACCTGAAGGTTTAAAGAGGGGTGTTTCTAAGGAAGGAAAAACTGAACTGAGATCTGAAGGACAGGCAAGGTTAGCTAGAAGAAGAAGGGTAGGAAGAATTCATGCAGAGGGAACAGCATGTGCAAAGATCCTGTGAAAAGGGCTAATTCTGGCCACTGTGCCAGAGCAGAAAAAGCCAGAGGGGAAGCTGGTGTAGGAGGAGGACAGGCAGTATGGACCATTCAGGGCTTTGCTGATCCATTAAGACTTTTTGACACCACTGAAGGTGTTTTGTGTTAAAGCATAATTTACAGACAAGAACACCAATTTTAAACATTCAGTTCAAAGATTTTTGATGATGGCAAATACCTGCGTGATCACCATCTGAAACAAGATATAAGACCTTTCTACCATCCCAGAAAGTTCCCTTAAGCTCCTTTCCAGCCATCCCACCCCACCCTGCCCTGACACAACCACTTTCTGACTTCAATCACCGTAGAATACTTTTGCCTATTTTAGAAATTTTATACGAGGAATTCTATATGGACTCTTGTGTCTGTGTTCTCTTTGCTGAACTGTGTCTTAAAGATTCACCTATGTTCTCGAATCAGTTCTCCATTCCTTTATATTGCTGCGTAGTAGTCCACCATATGTCAAGACTTTGTTCATTCGTCTGCTGGTGGACACGAGTTGTTTTTGGCTCCTGTGAACTAGATTACAAATCATTCAGTGAATACCTGCTCAATTTAGCTGAACTAATTGCTTAGGAGTGGACTGATATGTCAATGAGCTGGCAGAGGTTTTATTCCATAAAAAGCTGCCAGTTTTCTGAAGCAATCTCATCTGAGAAATGTGGAGAGGTCCCAGTTGCTCGGAATCATCACCAACATTTCATGTTTGTCTATCTTTTAGATTTTAGTCATTCTACTGGGTGAAATATCTCACTGACTTTAATTTCCATTTCTCTGAAGGCTAATGATATTGAGCACCTTTTCATGTATTTATTGGCAATCTGTGTTATCTTCTTTTATGAGGTGTCCAAGTCCTTTATCTCATTTTTAAATCTGGTTGTTAACTGTTAATTTCTAACAAGTTCTTTATATATTCTGGGTAATAATCCTTAATCCAATTTATATAGAACAAACAGTCCCCTACCCCAGCCTGTAGTACCTGTATATTCATTTTCTTACTATTATCTTTGATAAGCAAATATTTTAAATTCTGATGAAGTCCAAGTTGTAAATAGTTTCTTTTATAGCTAATGCTTTTTGCATCCTGTCCAAGAAATCTCTGCCTACCTCAAGGTCACAAAGAGATTGTTTTCTTCTAGAAGCTTTAAGTTTCTGGGTTTTATGCTTACATAACTTTTAAATTAGATTTTGTATAGGGTGTAAGATGGGGTTGAAGTTCATTTTCCCCCATATGGGTATTTAGTTGCTCTGGCATCATTTGTCAAAAGATTTTTCTCTTTCCACTGAATTGTCTTGGTAACAATTTTTAACTGGGTGAGGAATAAGATTTTTATTTGGAAAAAGATTCTATTGGATCTCTGAGACTGGACAAGGCAAGGGAGAGAGGAGGACAAAAGGCAATCAGAAAGATGAGATAGGGACTGTTTCAGTTCAGGTAAGAGTCCATGGTAGCTTGGACTAGTGCAGAGGACAGAGAACAATGGGCTACTGATGACAGGAAATAGGATTAGATTGGACATAGGAGGTGAGAGAGGGACAAGGTCAATCATGAATGTTAGGATTCTGGTCCATGTAACAGGGCAAATGTGGAGCCACCCACTGTGATTTGGAATACTGAGAAAGCTCCAGAGAGAAAAGACGTGGGGGGTAACACCTATGAAGAAATGCCAGTTGGATATACTGGATGGGAGCCCTGGGGAGTGTCTTGACGCAAGAGATACCAAGCGGGGAAGCACCAGCGTATGGATTTTTGTTGGAGAGAGGGCATGGATGCAGGGTCCAGGGAGAACAAGAAGTGAGAAGAGAACAGTGCCTAGAACTAAGCTTTCAGGAACCCTCCCTTCTGATGACCACATAGAGGATGAACCTGCAAAGGAGATCAGAGACAGCAGATCAGAGACAGCAGACTGGAGGGCAGACCTAGGGAAGCCTAGGGAAGACAGAGGTTTAAGAAGGGGGAGAAGACAGATGAAGGCTGAAAAATGGCCCTGGATTTAATGATACAAAGGTCAGAGTGGGAATCTAAGCAAAAGGTAGAGACACACTAGAATGGGCTCAAGGGCAAGTTTCAAAAGAAAAATTCAGAAGACATATTTGTTTTGTAGTAGGGCTTCAGTTATATCTGGGGAACTGAGAAACAAAGAGCTATATTTGTTATTGGCAGTATTTTTATCTAATAAATTCGTTCTTTTTCTTGCATTACTATCAGGAACAAATGGTGTCATTAATAATATTTTCAATAATTTTATGAGTAATAAAGCTTTTTTTCCAAACACATTGTTATGCTGGTCTCCAACATATATATAAAAAATTAACAGCTGAACTTTTCTTTGGACTCAAAACAGAAGTGACGGATGAGAGAAAGAAAAGAAAAATGCCTGGGAGCATTCAGGAAGAAAGATAGAAAATCACAACCACTAAAGAATGATGGCATCAGAGGCCATAAAAAGGACAGGCATTGCTAAAATGCGATCAGAGTACAGGATTGAGAATAGTGAGCAAAGCAACAGAAGACAAGAGTTAAGAATTCAGAGACAATAAAAGATAAGAGTCCCAGCAGACCAAGACATTTTTTCTATAACTAGAATTTCTTTCAAAAAGAACAGATCAACTAAAACAAAAACATTCAGAGATACTATCAAAGAAAACTTAAAACAAGGCCTTACTAATGAGTTTTCACAGGATACATATGTTCTATGAAAAAGTGATAAAGAATGGGAAAGTACCCCCTGGTCTTCTAGGGGGAATAAAAAGATCTTATAAAAACAAAATTAATGGTAGCCTCAAACTTCTCCAGGGCAACATTCTATGCAAGAAGATAATGGAACACTACTTAGCAGAACACATACTTAGAAGAGAGGTCTGAGGAGCACTGGGAAATGCGTGCTCCCTTCCTCGCCTCTCATAGGGGCAACCAAGAGACACTGTCCAAGGGGAGTCAGACGAGCTAGAGATATTGATGGGTACCATGCAACGCTGTAACAGCAATTACTAAAAGCAGGAAAAAAACCTTTCAAACCATGAGAAGTAAAGCAAACACCAAGTCCAAACCAGATCACGAAGTAAAAAATAACAGTCAAAGGAAACGTAAGTAATAAGTATATGTAAGATGCAGAACTAAAAACTAACAGATCTGTCATATACATAAATCAAAACAGGTAAAGGGGCCTTTACCAAAAAAAAAAAAAAAAAAAAAAAAAAAATTAAATTCAGACTGGATCAACGAGGGAAAAAAATCCAACAATGTGTTCTATGAGACGCAGACTGTAAAAAAGTAATTCAGAAAGACAGAAAGCTAAACGGATGGGTAAAATTTTGCCAGGCAAGTGCAAATAGTATCAAGGCATTAATATTCAACGAGGTTGATTTCAAGGCAGGAAGCCTTAAGTGAGACAAAAGATGACCATTTTATAATAAAGGATAACTATTCACAAGTCTTTTAGTGTCAATAAGATAAAAACTTGCTTTAAAGCAATTTTTTTGACATGAAGGAGAAAGTGAAAGAAACATAATAGCAATAAATGCCTTCACTTTTTTCAGTCTAAGATTAATTAGAAGACAAAACCAGAAATGGGGAATCTAACATAAATTGAAAAGGTCAGTCTAACATATATTTTTAACTCTGTATCTTCAAAGAATGAACTTATTTTTGAATAGTTCCTGGATGATATAAAAAGTTGGCCATTTTCCAGTTCTTTATCTTCAAGGTAGAGAGTTCAATATGGAGCTATATACACAAAACTTAATAGATTTTTTTTTTAAGATTATATTTATTTATTTGACAGACAGAGATCACAAGTAGGCAGAGAGGCAGGTAGAGAGAGAGGGGGAAGCAGGCTCCCTGCTGAGCAGAGAGCCTGATGCGGGGCTCCATCCCAGGACCCTGAGATCATGACCTGAGCCGAAGGCAGAGGCTTTAACCTGAGCCACCCAGGCGCCCCACGCTTAATAGATTTTTAAAAAGTAAATCTAGTGGGGCACCTGGGTGGCTCAGTCAGATGTGTCCAACTCTTGATTTCAGCTCGGTTCTCAGGGTCATGAGATTGAGCCCAGTGTCAAGCTCTGTACTGTGTATGGGACCTGTTTAAGATTTGGTCTTTCCCTCCCTCCCCTGCCTACTCCTCCATTCCAAAATAAATAAATAAATAGATAGATAGATAGAGAGATAGTAAATCTCGTAAAACTGATCATCTGATTATAATTAAGTGAAACCAGGAATCAATAACAGAAATGGAAAACCAAAAACCAACCAACAAAATAAACAACAACAACAACAACAAAAAAGCCTTTCTGGAACTCTAAGAAATTAACATTATTATGTAATGCTTGGATCAAAGAGGAAATAGAAACCAAAAGTGGAGAATATATAGAAAATAACAATAATAAAGGCACTATTTATTAAAACTTAAGTTTTCAGTGTTCTCACCTATAAAATAAGTAATCATAGGGCCTAACTTTATTGGGTTTGTTGCAAGAATGCTTAGAAGAAATTAAAAACTAAAAAAAAAAAACAAACCAACTTTAAAAAGGAGAGAGTATCTCAGGGTGCCTGGGTGGCTCAGTGGGTTAAGCCTCTGCCTTCGGCTCAGGTCATGATCTCAGGGTCCTGGGATGAAGCCCCGCATCAGGCTCTCTGCTCAGCAGGAAGCCTGCTTCCCCCCCCTCTCTCTGCCTGCCTCTCTAACTACTTGTGATCTCTCTGTGTCAAATAAATAAATAAAAACTTAAAAAAAAAAAAATCTCAGTACTGGAAAAGACCTCAGAGCTATTTGCTCAGTTTCCTATCTGGTTAGAAATCCTCCAAAGTAAATTTAATTATTAAGAAATTCAAGAAAATGTCTTACCTGTTAAAACAGTTATGGTAGAGTCATCCTTGCTTGCGGCTTCAAGTGCAAGTATGATTTCTTGATACATCTGTGAAAGGGGGAGACAAGAAAAAGAAAGGAACTCTGAAAATGACAACCATCGTGTGGGATTCACTAAGTCAGTCTGTAAGCCTGTCCTCTGCAAAGCGCCAACTGTGATGCTGGTTGTATTTACATAACTAAAAAGGCAGCCCAATACAGTTGAAAGGATTTTCAATCCTTTTACAATTACTTGGTGTGTTACATACCATGTGCTCTTGTGGACACTGGGGGATATATCCACCTTTCCCCAAAAGTGAACAGATAAGACCTAGTCCTTGAGCTTTTGGAATTAATAGAGAGGGGGAACTCTAAACTGGGTGGAAAGTACATCATGGCAGACAGCTTGGAGGAAGCACTGATATCCAGCGTGGGTGGGATGGGAGGCGGCCAGGGGAAGATTTCCATGAAGCAGTTTGTCAGCTTTGACCTCAAAAAAGAGCATGCATGTCCCAGGCAGTCTGGAAAGTGTTAAAGGCTGGGATTTCAAGACATGTAATGGTAGCTGAAGACAATGGGTCCAATATTTTAAATTAGCAATGTCTGTGAAAATCTTGGGAGGTGCTGTTGTTACAGTTTTTAATGCACTGGTGTCATTTCTACCTCAGATAAGACATCGGTGTAGGAGAGAATGATGAAGAGGGTTGGTATTTATGGATACACAGATAGTGAAAAGAAAATACGGACTTGACATAATAGACAAGTAAAGGTGAAGTTGTATTCACTGAGGGAGGAAATGAGGAAATAACTCCATTATTATTATTATGGTTATGATGACACAGCATGACTGGGTAACTGGCCAGAGCTAGAATTATGACATGGATATATTAGGGTTTTAATTTAGGTTTTCCAGCTTATTAGTTATGGGAACTTGAGCACATTCCTACTTATTTTATTGTTAAATAGTATTAGAAGGACCCTTGTGGGAATTAAGGAAATCTCTGTGTGGAAAGTGCTGACACACACTAGGCACTCTGCAAAGAGCAGCTGCTATTATTATCACCACCATCATCACTATCATCACCATCATCACCATCACCACCACCATGATCACGACCATCACCATTATCACCACTACCATCATTCATATCACCATCATCATCATCACTATCATTACCACCATCACCATCACTACCATCTTCATCACCACCATCATCCCCATCATTCACCATCAACACCATCATCATTATCACCATCAATACCATCATCACCACCATCATCACCATCTTCATCATGATCACACAGAAATGAGGCAATGGCAATGAAGTTGAGGATCAAATGTTTTACCAAGTCAATGGCACATATCCAACTTCATGGAATTCTTAACACTATTTTAAGTGAGCAGACTCCTTCTGCTATAATATAGATGACAAACCCAATGAAAAGGATTATAGCCACGCAAATTTTACTTGCAGTTCAGCACCAAGCATCCAATTAATTACCTACATATTTTTCAAGGGGAAGGGGTAGAAGTGGTTATTTTTATTATCATTGTAGTTTGATGAAAGACTCAAAGATCAAAGGAGCTCTTGTGAGCAGCTCATCTGAAGCAGAGTTGGGTTATGCTATATTTAAAATGAAGGTCTTCTTTCCTTTCTCCCTCTACTTGTATAAATAAAGGCCCATGCAACTTGAATAGTAGTCACAAGTCTAAATGAAAGGAGCAAAGTCTGGGGACAGTCTGTGTCAACCTTAGAGAACCTCTACACCTACTCTCTTATATCAATGTATGTTTCATTTCTATTAATTTAATTTATTTGTGTTTCTATCATTAGGAGAGTTGCAGGGCTTTTTTGGACACAAAGAACCTACCCAAAGCCAACAAATTCTAAATAACAAATGCCCAACTCGGTTGTATGAAGAAGTAGCCACCATTACTAATCTTCCTACACAAATCAAACAAGAGATCACAACAATAGCAATGATGCTGAAACATTCTAGTTGTTGAGTGAAACAGACAGAGGGAGGAAAGAAAAGTAGGACATACTCCCAGGGCAAGTCACATTACCTGTTCGGTCAATGCATTCTTTTTGGCAGGCCGGTTCAACATGATCTTTGTGATGCCGTCTTCAGAGGTCATCACCACTGTTTCGTATCCAGCTTGTTTCCTGTCTGCTTCAGGCTTCGCTTGGCTAGAGGAGTCAGACGAAGAACTCAAACCAGACACCAAATCCACATAGCTCTGCCTAGCAGTTTCCTGAGGAGAAGACGACAAATAACCTCAATCCTCGGTCGGTAAGTAAGCACTGTGAGAAACTTAACCGCGCTAAGAAACAGCACCTTGCAATGAAGAAAGAAGAGAGGTCTGATTCAACAGAATCCAACCAGATCTCGCAGGTTCTACCTACAATGGTTTAATAATGAGAAGCACCCATCTTCCTCCAGGAATATAGCAAGTAAAATAAAAGCAAAGTAGAAAGTAAATGTACCTTGGGCAGATTGCCAAGAGCATTCCATGCCTCCCATTTGGCCTTATTGATCAAGTCAAACACACCTGGTTTGGGTGTATTACAAGGTCCTTCAGTGGCCTGGGAAAAGGAGAGGGGCAATTATCAGTTACATGTCCATGCACATTAGAGGGTCAAATATTTAAGATTTAAAATGTACAACTAGCATGAATGCGCCTTCCCCTCCCAAACACTTTTAGAAGATACATAAATTCATCTTAACTTCCCCCTTGCACTGTCTTTGATGCTGCTGCTAAAAATATACAACAGAAAAAAGACCAGAGAGACAAAATGTGCCATCAGCTACCGGTCCCTAAAATAAGTCATAAATGCCTGAATATGAAAACAAAGTCAGACAAGGGGTTTGGCAAAGTACTTTTTAAAAACTCCCAATAGTTAGTTTTGTATCAATGATCCCATTTTTCACACACAGTCAAAATATTCAAGCAAACTATCTTCAAACGTAATCAGGCAACAAACATTTGGAAACCTACCATATATTCTGAAACCCACTCAAAGGCACAAAAAAATTCCACGAATTCAGTGGTGGATTTCTGCCAACTGAGAAGAGTTGAACCTGGGGTAGCAGGGATGGGAGAGTGCCAGAGCCACTGGCCCTATAGAAACTTAAATGAAGGCTATGCAAAGAGGAACCATAGAAAACAACTAAATTTTACTTGTTTGAGAGTAGGTGGACTGAATGTTTTGAGATGAATTTACGTAGCCACCTGTAAAAACTTTAAATTCCACCATTAGCTGAAAGAGGAAAAAAGAAAGAGGCTTTGAGAAACAAAGGCAGTGGAGGAGGCATAGATTTTCCAAAGACAAAGAGGCAAGGGTCACCCTGCAAGAAAGAGATATCTGGAGAGGGAGAGGCAACACGGTATGCAAGTCCCCCTCCCTGCACCCAGCCTGGAGTCAGGAAACAGTACTTCCCCCACAACAGATGTGTGGTAACACACAGGGAGTACTGCCCACCAGGGAAATTCACTTAAGCTCTGGTGGTCAGAGTTTTCATTTGGGGCTCCATGGCGTAGGCATGGCTGACTACGTAGCTAGGAGCCCTCACTCTAAATCACACTGTGAGACTCAGGCCAACAGAGACACTCCTTAGCAGGCCTGACCTTTCCAGGCTTAGGGATTACTTCCCAGAAGTTAAGCACAAAGTCCTGGCCTCTTTCTGAGCAAAGTCAAATTCTAGGACACTAAGAGAGGCTCATACCGATCATGGGAAGAGGAACACAGATCACACACAGGAGCCCAAAACCAGCGGACTTCCCAAGGTTGTCCTTAGACAACACAACTTAAAAATTTTAGTTTGAAATATTTGTTATACAAATTTTCAAACATATAGAAGAGTATTATAACGCATTCCAAATACTCAACCTAACTCAATAACCATCAATTTCTGGCCATAATTGCTTTGTCCATCCTTTTCTTTCTTTCCTTCCTCTCTTTCTTTGTTTCTTTCTTTCCTTCCTTCCTCCTTCCTTCCTTTCTCGCATTTTAGTGACTCTCAAAGTGCCATTCTATTTCAGCCCTACATAGTTAGTGTGCATTCCTCAAGAACATCAACATTTTCTTATATAACCATGGTGTCTTTAATAATAACTCCTAGGTATCACCTAATACTCAGTCCACAAATTACCCCAGTGGTCTCAAAACAGTGTTTCAGTTGATTTTTTTCTAGTCAGAAGCCAAATAAGGTCTACACCTTCAGTGGTTATTTCTTTAAGTCTCTCTGACTCCAGAGTGATCCTGGTGGGTTCCTTTTTACTGTAAACAGTACTGCAAAGACAAGTATACAAAAACTCCCATGTAGACACATTTTAGAGGAAAGGAAGCAATACAAACCTTCATAATATGAAAGCTGCATTTCAGTAGAACACATGGCAGATCTATCTGAGTAGCCATGGGTTCAAAATGTCTCTTGGTTACGTCAGACATTAGGCATTTACCTGCTTATAGAGTCCATAGAGTTTGAGCTTCACTTCATTTCCTGGGTCCTCCTTCAACAGTTTCACCTGATTCATCGCATTCTCAAAATCCTCCTGACTGGCTCCCATTGCTGTTTTGCTCACATGCAGCTGAAGTGCCGGGACCTTCAGGGAGCTGCAGACAGGCAGACTGATTTCTAATGGCTGCCAATCCGTACATACCAAAACGCTCTGTTTCTCCTGAAATACGTTCCCTGTACCTGACCCTGTACAACAAGATGGCTGCAAACAGTTAGTGGTGTAAGGGTCATGGTTAGTGGTGTAAGGGCCACGGGCAGGCCGTCCCAAGATGGGCCCCTTGGGCATGAGCAATATTTTGAGTTAAAAGCAAGCAAAGCCCAGCAGAAACAGGAAAAGCTCTCTGACTCCCCATCTACTGCCCAAGTTTACATTGGAAAGAAGAGCCTGTACCATGAAGAGACCCATGAACAGAGATTCCTCTTTATCTAAGAAACTTATCTGTGTAATGGGACAATCTTTGTTTTCTCAAGATCTCCTCTCACCTTCCTGCTAATGGTCTTCCTCTGTTTTGTATCCTCAGACTCCTAACCCTTCTCCTTAGCTCAGAATATAAGCTTCAAAATATAAGTCATGTAAGCCTCATGCAGCCCATCTTTGGAATTTCACGTTTATGTGGATTCCATGTGGGTATGAAACGAAATTTGATTTTCTCCCATTAATCTGTCTCTTGTCAATTTGATTCCTAATCCGGCTGGAAGGACAAAGGGCAGAATAAATTTCTTCCTTCCCAACAGTGGTTTTCAAAATGATCCCTAAAAAAAGAAATACAGAAGCTAACTGTAGCAATCTTAAAGGAAAAGGAAGCTACAATCCAGCACAGCAATTAGAGCAATTCTAATTAGATACTGATAAAAGCCAAGGGATGGAGAATGGCCATGTAAATTCTGCCACAGGCAAGAAAGTAAATGAAAGGCACTGTAAGATGTAAGTGAGCAGGAGACTGAGACTGAGAGGTCAAGTGCACAGAATTTGGTCTTTTGTGTCCTAACAGCCAGAAATCCTGTCTGCCCTTGCTCCTTTGATTACGGACCCATCACCCTCGCTGATTACCAAAGTATAAAATTATTAACAGGTCAATTCTTTCTGTTCAGCAAAATGTGTGTCCCAGCCTGTAGGTGGAAGTGATGTTGGAAAGATGCTGGGGTTCTGAGCTAACGGCCAAGAAAGAATTCTTGAGACGTCTTTGGTGCAAAAATGGTGATTTTATTAAAGCACAGGGACAGGACCGGGGGCAGAAAGAGCTGCACCAGGGTCATGAGGAGTGGCCCATCACACACTTTCTTTCTTTTTTAGATTTTTTTTTTTTTCATAAACATATAATGTATTTCATCACACTCTTTCAAGTTGGAAAGGGGTTAGGGATAGCCCAAGTCTCCAGCGAATTTTGGAAGCAAGGTTTCCAGGACCTCCAAGGACCAACTATTGTTAGGAAAAGGTCATTTATTACTGTCTAATGAAACCTTAGTCATGAGACCCTTCAGATGTTTATCTGTGGGTCATAAGCTTGGGGGATGATTGTCAAGATGTATCTTGGGGTAGAGATAAAGGAATTTTTATATGTTAATGTGGACTTACAGGAGCCTGGGGGCTGGGCTTAAGATTGCTTTTTGCCCTTAGCAAAGTATTAACACTAAGGCAACTGAGTTCCCAGAGGAATGTCGCTTTGTCTGTTTCAAGGACTCGTCAATGGGCTGTTAAGTAGTAAGGAAATTTAATTTTTCTTTTGCTTTTGTTTCCCACATCAGAAGGAGGAGAGACTGGGTTAAGATACAAGAAGGGTTCTGAAGCAAGATGGGATTGGGAGGGAGATAAACCATAAGTGACTCTTAATCTCACAAAACAGAGGGTTGCTGGGGGGAGGGGGGTTGGGGGGGATGGGGTTATTATGGACATTGGGGAGGGTATGTGCTATGATGATTGCGGGGAAGTGTGTAAACCTGGCGATTCACAGACCTGTACCCCTGGGGAAAAAAATATATGTTTATAAAAAATAAAATTTAAAAAAAAAAAAGATACAAGAAGGGTTCAAAAAGACAGATGAGCTGTAGTTGGCATTCCAGACAAAGAGCCACTTCTTAGTAGCTGGGGGACTTATCTAGAGGAAATCTAACTGCTGTGGAAGCTAGTCTGTGAAGCTGCGCTGATAACACATAATGACTCACCCTGAGAAGGTTAACCAGCGAGCTAGGAGCAGAGCAGAAACAGCGAGCACAACCAGGCAGAGTGTTTAGTAGGCAGAGGAAGAGAAAATTTCGGTGCACAGTATTGAGGCCACAAGCAAAAAATTGATGTTCCCAATGAAGACCCTGGCATATAAAGTTAAAGTCAGTGGGATCCAGGATGATTAAAATAATACAGTTTTAATAATGCCCACACCCAATGGATTACTTCCTCTGCAATAATACGACTTTCAGAGCATAAAGAACCCCTAGGTTCAAACTCTGAAATACTAGTAATTCAGTAAATTAGTAATTTTGCAATTTCTAACTGAAATTAGTAATTCAGTAAAGTCTTCAATAATTTTTACATTAAATAACTGAATTAGTTTCTCTCCAAAAAGGGAAAAACACTGCATCCTACGTGATGTATGTTAAGCTCCAAATAGAAAACGAAAGAACAAAATGTCTATCACAAAGCCTAAACGTGCAAGCTCTCACAAAATACGCACAAACTCACTTATTTGAAAGTGAGCTTTAAAAAATTACGAAGCACTACCGTTTAATACATAAAATCGAGAAAATCATTTATAATCCCACCACCTCAGTTTTTACATAGTTTGTGCTCCCCGCGGGTTAACACTACAGAAGTGTTCCCCAGGAAGCAGTCTGACCCCACACGGAGAACGGCCTGCGTTTCTACAGCATTCAGCAGGAAAGCCAAGCGTGCTGAGATGTTCTACCCCGTTTTAGCGAATTAGGTTGGCAACCTAGCAGCAGCCCGGGTGGAGGGCTGTGCGGCCCGAGTGGAGAGCTGAGCGCGAACGCCTGGGGAGAAGTGGCAGCTCAGGCCTCCCCGCGCGTCCACCGAGACCATCTCGCGCCCAGCCGAAGAGAGGGGGCGCGTTTAAGGACACCTGCCATCACTCCCTCCCTGGAAAAACCATAAAAGCATAACCCTGTGGCTACCCGGACAAGATAAGAGACAGAGCAGCTCCCGCGCGCGGCGACCGCCTCTGCTCGCCGGGATCCCACGGGCGACCCTAGATCCCTGACTCAGCACTTACCCCCCGACCGCTCTCCGACACCAGCACCGAATCAGCCGACCGGTTACCCCAGCCATGGCTACCCGGAAAGGTGGGGCGTGGGCGGAATTCTGGGATGGTATCTAAAACCTGGATGGTCCGGAGGCAAAGGGGCGGGGAGTGGAGCGGGACCCGATAGGTCAGGGCAGGGGGCGGGGCCAGGGGGGGCGGTTCCAGGGCCCGGGGTGAAGACGGGACAGGGAGAGGGTGGGACAGGGAGAGGGTGGGGTAGGGAGGGGGAGGCGAAGAGGAAGGGGTAGGAGGAGCGGGAGACCAAGCGGGTCGCGTCGCGGGGATTAAGATGGGCTGTGTGGACGCGCGCCCCCTCCGGGGCCGGAACCGGAAAAACATAGCTTGGGGTGCGTTCGGAAGAGCGAAGGTGTGTCTTGGGGACACAGGAACTGCCAGCTCTGGGGCGATCGCTTCCCTACGCACCTCGACGTCCCTTCAGCCCCCAGCCACCAAGAAGGGGTTGTGCGTTAAGGGGGGAAAACAGTAAAGGTGTGTTTAAAACACACACGCGCGCGCACACACCCCACCTAATTTACCGCTGCCGAAGATGAAAGGTTTACAGAGCCGGTAGAGCACCTGGGGATCAGAAATGGTCTGCCCAGTAGTTTTAAACCCGTCTTTTCATGTCAATAACTGTGGATATTTTCGAGTTCGGACAAAGCATTCAAGAAAGTATTTTCTTTGGGAAAGAATCCTTAACAGTTGGAAGGGTCTTTGGCTGTCACCGCCCCCAGTTCAAGAACAAGAAAAATCACTGCTTTAAAACTGGGCTGAAAAGAAAACCACAGGTGCAAAATAGAGTACCTTATGGTAAGGCTGCAGGGTTAGCAAACTAAGACTTAATACCTAAACAAACTTCGGTTTCATATCCATCCACCCCACCCATGAAAACCTTTAACCAGTCAACAGGAAATTTATGGATAAACCCCTTCTGTTCTCTTAGAAGGGTGACCTTGCCAAAAACCAATGAGTTCTTTGCTAATAATTTCCTCCCTTCCGCTTCTCCCTTTAAAAACATTTCCTTTTCTGCAACCCAACATGTTAGATGACTTGCTACCTGATTCATGGGTCATTTAAAAAAGTCAGTTAGCTCTTCAAATTTACCCAGTTTAAATTTTTGTGATTTACAGTGCTCAGGGTGCAATATCCAAGTAGGCCTGGGGCCAGTCAGATTTTGAAACTGACACTGGAATACTTATGGGCCAGGCTAACTGTATTTCTTTCCGTAATCCTGTAGGAAAAATGGTGTTGTCCCATTTTGCTATTTTGGAAACGGAGGTCAAGAAAGATTAATTAGGTGGCTTGCACACAGACCAGAGACTTGGAAGTGGTCAGAACCCTGTTTCAACTCAGAGCTCAGAGTTGAAGTCCCTAGTAATTTTATTATTTCATGCTGATGGCCCATTTACTATTTGTGCCTCATCAGGCAGATCTGGGTAATAGTGCAGGTGGGGGCAAGATGGAAGGCCAGAGTAGAACAATTTAGAATTGTTCTAAAACTTAAGGTAGTACAAGGTAGTGACTGGTAGGTTGAGCTGTCTCTTAAAGACCTGGGTCCTGTCCTGGGCTGAGTTAGGTGACCCTCAAAGGTGATGGAAATACACTAGTCAGAAATTGTAGAAATACTGGGCAATTCTCTGGACTCCAGAAGATGAAACACCTCTCAAAGAAATATTAGTATTTTTAAGAAGTCCCTTAATGCTGAGCATATTTGGGTTGGGAAACATTTCACAATACAGGTGAACTCTTCTCATGCTTACGTCTGCTACATTTCACACAGAACAGTGGAGTTGGGAAATTAGCTATCTTTGCCAAAGTGTAACTTAAGCAAAGTAGAAGGAACATTTGTCCAAGGTTCACTTAACTCATTCATTAGGGAACCAACAGTTCAAAGTTCAAAAAGCAACAGTTCAAATTTCAAAAAAAAAATTGAAAAGCAAGTTTATATAGTCTGTATGAGAAAAGAATGCTGGAATAGATTGCAAGGTTATATACAAAATTCGTTAATGTCTACAGAGCAATAAAACCATAAACCCTAGGGTGATTTTTTTTTCTATTAGACAAATTAT